ACCAGATACGAGAGGTAAAGAAAACAAGTGGGAAAAGCGTAGAAGACATATTAAAAGAAAAAATACACACATTGATCACTCTTCTCCAATACTTAACTAAATGGGAAGAAGCATCTCCTCATTGTTCTCTATCTGCTGCATGCGAGGTTTTCTCAGTTCCTCAGGTCTTACATCAGAGGAGGGGAGAGTTATTATTCCCTGCTGCCCATGGGTTTATCACCTTCCCATTTCTGCCATCACCTCTCCCAGCTGAGGAGCCCCATCTACTCACTCATTCCTCACATGAAAGCTGCTCCTGCCCAGTTTTAAAGATGTAACTGCGCTTTTTTTTTTTTTCTTTTCCTTTTTGAGTTTCTCAGACAATCCACTGGGCTCGCAGCAGAGGGAGAAAGCTCTGAGATAAAAGATGAGCCTTTCTTTTGTTTTGTTAAATCATGGTTGTTATTAAAAATCACCATTTCCTTTCTCTCGCTAGTCTCATGTGGGAAAACACTGGCAGGGCACCAAACCCTCGTTTAGATGACAAGCTTGGGCTTTTACTGGTTTTAAAGTGAGTGATTTACTGCTGCACATACACCACGCTGTTATTCCCTCACAAGCACACTCTCACAGTGCAGAGAGCAGGCGGCTATCCACGAATTACATGTCCCTTGCTCTTTCCACCAGATGCCTGCCTCTCCCGGAGCAGAGGCCAACCAGACCAAAGTGCAGGATCGCAGGATCCATCTTCAGGCTGTACTCCAGCCTCCCTTCTCTTTTGAAACGACATAAACCTGCCTGGCAAGCTCAGCAACTGCCTACATGAAAAACAACTACAGCTGCTTTAACTAATGACAGTGGACTTCTGGATGCTTCTTACTGCAATTGTACAACTGAAGCCAATGCAGCTTGACCCATCACCTCTCCACACAAATAAGAGTTTTCCACACCAAAAACTCCACTTTGTTCAAATCCATGTCTCTAAAGAGACATTCACAGGACAATTATTGTTGGCAACAATCCCAATAAATTTTGTATTTTCATTCTCTCCCTAAATTTATCACAGGAGGTTGGAAGTTTCTTATTCTGCTCTGCAAAATGCAGTGGACTGGGCTTGTCTAACTTGTCTGCTCACATATAATTTCCAACACATTGGATCTGTTTTCTTAGCATGTTCAGTAAGGACTGAGAAATCTGGAAGAAAAAAAACAAAAAAAAAACAGAACGAGCACTGAACACAGCGGGCTACAGACTATCGCTGATTGCGGGCCATCTTCTTCCCCTCGGATCTGAGAGGTGATTAAGATTTTCAGTCACAGGCAATATTACCGAACTGCAGCTGTGCTGCCTTTGGAATCACAGGCACTTGAGGAAGGCAGTCTAAAAAACAACAATAAAAACAAAATAAAACCAGGGGAGCAGATGCAAGACAAGGCAACCGAAATCTTGCAGGGAATCCTTCTATTGGCCATAATGCTTCCCCCTATAACCCTAGAACAACAGGTTTCCTGAGTATCACAGCTTGGCATCGCTGATGGGCTGCTAACTTCAAAACAAACCTTAAGATCCTTATCAAGGGCTAAAGAATTGCCTTCAAGCCTTCCCTTTGATCAAGGCAAGGGAGCCACGGGAAATGTTGGGCAACTAAATCACCCCCAAAGGGAAGGGATAAAATAGGCATTGCGTTCAGGGAAGAAGCTCCTCTGCTTTCGCCACAGCGAGCCGTAGGTGGCTGTGCCTGCATCGCTGCACGGATTTAAGGAAGTGTAGTAACTACGGGCAAACAAGGAATCTGCCACCAGATGTCACCAAAATGCTATTATGCCTGCTGAGAGGAGCCCGACTAAATCACGCCTCTGGATTTCCCGGAGCTAGGTCAGGGATGATCAGAGCACTGTTTAACCCTACACTTGGTTACAAGAGGTCACTCCTTTCTAGTACCAACAGCTGAGAACGAGTAAGAAAAAAAGGATTCTTTGCAATTGACTGGCAACACTGCCCAAAACAGGTTTACTTAGGTAACACATGCTAATTAACCTTTGCAGAGAGAGCCTTTAACGTATGTCCGTCACAAGCTGAAAGTCAACATGAATGTAGGATATCCATATGTTCTGGGTTGCTGAGTACATCAGACTCAAAGCTAGAGCCTGGCACTTCAGAATTAAATTTATTTTGAGAAAATATTTGTTTACAGCAGCTCCTGTTGATTTCAAGCTGTGTGAGAAACAGTATGTTTAACTTGGGATTTCTGCTTGGTTTTCTGAAAAAGAAACTTCCAAGCTGCAGTAAGTCACTAAAAAAATCTTTTCAATACTGAAGTGTATAGCATGAGCTGAAGTCCTGTGACATTTGTTCCCTCTTTACTGAAGGCCTTTATTTCTCTTTTTAGAGAGCCTGACTGCCTTGCAGAATTCACCCTTCTCAAACACGGGATAAGGCACCAACTATCAAGATAGATAAGGGACTGCAAGAAACAGCAAGTGATGCAAAAAAGAATCAGAAGGGTGTTGTGACAGAGAAACATGGAAAATTTGTGTCCAGAATGAAGACAATTAGAATAGAATAAAATAAAGTAAAAGCAGAATAAAGAAATACTAAAGCTCCTCACCTGGAATGCTTTATTTAGCTACTCAGGCCACTCGTACTCCTGCAGTACTCAACACTGAATTTCAAATATGAGCATGCATTAGAGGAAATAACTAACAAGAACATGGCATTACTTCCCCATCTGTAGATTCCACTCTAATAAATATACCTGACTTTTTAAACCCGATTTGTCAAAAGTGTGTGCAATTTGTCCAAAATAATTGGGAAGCAGAGAAAAATACGTATTTCAAGCAAGCATTCTTCTCCTCTCGTTCTTCATACATAACAGTCAAACCTGTCTGCCTCAGTTCAGTTTGACAAGATCAAGAAATCAGTCACAAGCTAAAAAAAAATTGCAGCAGGTGATGCCTGAAGACTGGTACAGGTAAACACTGCAGTTCCCAGCAATGTCATGCTGGCAAGGCAGCTGCATTTGCACATCATATGAAATGTTAGACCTCCGCATCTAATAAAACATACAGACAGGGTAAGCCTATAGCACTCGGCAACCATATCGTTTTGCGGCTGCAATCTTCTTTCACTTTTTCTTTAAATTAAAATTTAAATTTACGTTAAAATTTCTTCTGCCACCAGTTAGAGCAGCACATCACTCAGTAGGATACACATTTGACCTACCACTCCATCACCATCTTTAGATCTGTTGGTCTCACTAGACAATTATATAATTTGTCCTAAATCAGTTTTCAACTATAGACCACTAAAACTCAGCACTTGATTTTATTAAGTGTTCCAACTGCCAAAAATGTCACTGAAAAGGTTACTAATAAAGTCAAATTCATATTATTTGAAAAGCATTAAATCCATGCCTACAAGATGTACTACATTAAGATAGGTTCCTACAGCCTTTTCTGAAAAAAAACAAACCAACAGATAATCTGGTCAAACAACTCAGCAGCTGAGTTGTCCTTCAAACACCTGCTTCCCCTCACCACCTATAGCAGGGCTATATTTGAACTTCTTATCTTTTTATGGCCAGGTTTTATGGTCCCTTGGGCAACCTGGTCTAGTGGGAGGTGTTCCTGCCCATGGTATTTAGATCACCGACAGAAGTCAAAACTTGTTTGATACTCTGCATAAGGTCTCCTTGTGTTTTACCTTTCTTCTTTCTGTATAAGGAGAGTAAACACAGCCAAACCTATACAGCATAACCTGCAGTCAGGTCTGCGTAATCACAGAGGTTCTGCTCATACACAGGTTTAACAAGCAAGCTTCCTACTTTAGAGACAAAAATACTAGATCAGTCAGGTGTGGCTGATTACAACAGACAGCTATGATTTCCACTGTTGAACAATTATATAATCCAGCAAGTTTTGCATGCTTTGTTGCAAGTCAGTGTTTTGCCTACTATCACATCACTGTTCAGAGACAGATCTAGAAAATGTAAATTCAACAGCATTTCAGCTTAAGTCATAGTGATAGACGTAAGAAAATGTTACAAAACATTTCTCAAGCCTTGACTAAATAGTGATAACCGGGAAAACTGATGAATACAATTTTAAAGAAGCTTCATTTATGTTTTTCTGATTCTTCTAAACGCAATTAAAATGGTCACTGGCTCCCAAAGGCAAACCAGCTGTAAAGGTTACTTCTTCACTGAACAACAGCATCTAGAGCACGAGACAAAATCACCTAGTTAAATATTTCAAGTACATTTTTTCAGCTGTACTTCATTTACACAAGTCCTAACTTTTTCCTTTAAGTCCAGGTTAAAGTAAAAGTAGCTGCTCAAATTTACCCTGCAGTTAGTGGTATTCTACGCTTAAAAAGAATTCTGAACTCTCACTAAGGACACGAATGTAAGTAATAATCAGAACAGAAAAGTACCTGAAACATCCTGCTGTGCAGAAGCACAACCATGACCTGAGAAGTCTCCTGGGGCATGAAACAAACATGCTTCTACACACACAAAACCTGAAGGAGTAAATGCAGCATCACCTCTCCATCTGCCCTATGACCTGAGGTGGTGAGGCTGAGAAGGGCAGACACTGAACTGGTCTAAGCATTTTAGGGCAGCAACCTGGTATAACCGCTGCTGTCTAGTTGTCACTTACGTGGGTTCTTAGCAGCCTGATCAACACCAGAAGAGCAGCAATAGCACCAAGAGGTCTCACCAGTGAATTACACAGCACCTACTCCACTCCATAACACAACAGGAATTTATAGACAGTGGTCACATGACGGTAACAGCATAACAAAAATTTTTTGCATCCTTTGGGTAGGAGAACTGAAAGAGTAAGAAAAAATTCATTAGCAACAACCTTTAGTAAAAAGCTGTTTGAGCACAATTCTCCTCACATTCATTACTTCAAAGTAACCAAGAATGAACATTTTGAACGTAAGAATCAACTAAGACTGGTGTTTGATCACTTGTTTAATTCCAGAGAAGTTCAGGGTGGCACCACAAAAGGAAATTCTCATCTCTGTTCCTTGTGCTGGCACTAGCACTCACGTGGCCAGCCTTGTTACGGAGCTGATCAGCTGGAAGAGTTTCTGAGGATGTTAGTGTTCCCTGGGATCAGTCCCCACTCCCTCTTGTTCAGTTAGCACTGTCGTTAATGCTGATACAAGGATGCAAGGACACAGCTGAACAGAGGAAGGGGACAGTTCACACCACATCAGCTTGCAGGAACAATGAATACTACACCCTTAATTGTGTTCATATTTAATGCAACTACATTGAGTAGTGGTTACAGTGCCAGTTACAAATGGCACTTCTGCAAAAGGCAAAACGTTGTTTAATCACAGATCTGCATGCTAAATGTTGAAAAAGTGCCCAGTTAAGCCCTTAGGCAGGCTTCTGTCCTCATCTTAAAAGGAATGTAATTCTTAACACACGAGGCAACTGCTTCTTCTGATATTTTAAATGTAGGTTGTTGTTTATTTATTATTAATTAGTAGCTAAAGAAGTCATACCACAACCGTATTTAGAGAATGCACATTCCAACAGAGTATTTGAACCTTTGCTTAGAAATCATTTTAGTTTTTGTTTGTGTGTTTGCTGAAGAGAGTTTTAGAATCAGACTGTTTGTAAAAATCAGTTTGGGGTACTTCTTGGTATATCACGTACCTGAACCTTTTTGTTTCCCTCCTCATCCACAAAGAATTTTACCATTTGTCTTGATGTGTTTGTCAGAAAAAAACAAAGAACTCTTCCCATGTTATGGGGAACATTTCCCTTTTCACTACTTGTACAGGTGAAGCTACAAAATTAAAACAAAATTCCCAAACAATCCAAGCGAAATGTTAGAGAAGGATGTTTTATCTGGTTTCAACAGTAATAACTTATAATAATAATAAATAAAAAAAAACAACCTGTAAAAAGCAGTGAAGTTCCACAATGCTAATTATTAATGCTAGGAAGTGGTATCTGGATTATTTATTTATTTTATATCACCTCTTGTTGTAAATTCCCACTGTTAACAGACTGACTTCTAGTCAAGGTAATAAAGCATCCAGGAGTAGACAAAGCTCCTATTTTGAGAAAATATACAAAAATCACTATTATTATATTAGAATCTCTGTTATATGCATATACAAAATAATTATCACAGCATTTGGTTCAGACAGTGTTGTTTTAAGTCACGGAATCAACTATTTGATCCAAGAGAGTCAGTGCTAGAAATGGATTCCTAGAAAACCATCTCCAAGTTGGAATTGTAAAGTACGAGAAAGGAAAGCTATTAACCTAAACAGAACAGAATTAAACAATGCTAACTTCCCTGCATCGTCCCATTAAATTACTACTACTGGTTAGTGAAGAAACCACATTCAGAACATAAAAGGCAGAAATGTTCATTCACATTATTTTGCCTGTTCCCTTCAAAAACTTCCAAAAGAGCAGATGGTTTTCTCAGGACTTTCAGAAGTCCATTTAGACATTCACCGGGTCCAATTTCAAAAAGCCAGCAGCAATGACTTTCTGTTACAACTCAGGAGGAGTTTAAACTTGTTTCCTGAGAAGAAGCAACCTACAGCTTGTGAGCTCCAGGTCATCCAGTTCATTATACACCACAGCCTTCCCATATTCAAATGTAACCCATGTTCCGTAAGCAAGAATAACCAAAGTAATTTCACTCCTAACTTTAGTGAGTAGTAATCTAAAGTAATCTCAAGTAATGTTTTGAAAAGTTTGTTGGCTGTTGGAAAGGTGCCCGAAAGCAGAACCTGTATAAGTACTTCAGACTCTTTATCTCTGTTTGTCATTTGGCAAATCTGACTCAAGAAAGAGACAACATCGCATGGCTGCAATCATTTCAATATTCAACCATGCACAACAAGTGCTGTTCACTTCCCCCCCTTCCCACCAGTCCCTCAGTTGTGGAAGAGCTGCTCAGAATTTATGAGGTTCAAACACAGCCAGTTCTTTCCCATCATACAGCTCCTGCAGTTGGTTTGACTCATATTTTATGGAGGGTTTTTCAATCTGCACTCCAGGCTCCAGAGCATTCTGTCCAACGATTTTAAGATTTACAATTTTTATTTTCCAGGTATTCCCCTGGATTGGACAGCTAATGAGTCCAAAAATTTGTTCAAAGATGCCCAAACAAACGTTGCCTCTATGTACTGTACCAGCCACTGCTACCAGTACTAAGCCATGCCGAGACATGACACATTTCAGTCCATTAGCATTCAAATTGGGGTTGAACAGAATATATTCTTCTTTCACTAATGAGAGCAGACGAAGGCTCACCATTTCTGCACCAACATATTCTTCCATGTTTTTTTCTAACGTGTTGTAACAGAACTTCAGTTTGGCATCCTCCCAGAAATGCTGTGGTCCCCATTTTTCTTCAGATTTAACTCCCAAAGGATGTTGAGAATTCAGGAGTTCAAAGAACCATTGGCAGAATTCTTCTCCTAGATGATGAACATCATCTTGTGGTGACTTCGACCTCTTTTCTTGACTCTGCAATCAAGAACATTTTTTTCTTAGAATATTTAGTCTTAACGTGTGAGTTCATCAGTTAGAATAGCCTAAAATTCATTTAATTCTTCTTTTAAACATTCTATGTCTCCTTCAAATGTTCTGAGATGGAAAGGAGAAAAAAATGCAGTAAAATCTCATTGTATTTTAAAGATCATAATTACCTAACAACTAGAGAATCGGGGTAGGTTCTTTGAAATTCAGTTAGAACAGTCCTTCAGTTTTGTCTTGGTCTGCAATTTATAATCTAAGAAGGAAATCCTGGTTCTCCCCCTTTGGCAGGGAAAGTATTTTTAAACAATTTCTGTGAGACGTGAATTCTCACACCGCGAGAAAAATCTTCTGGCTAAAAAGTACACTGGCCTTCATGGTTCCAAAAGAAGTTACAGAAAAAGAAGGATACAGAGCCATGCTTAAAAGTTAATCTCATATTAAAGGATACCAATTCAATATAAAGTGCCCGTAAATTAGCAAATACGCTTTTTTTTTTTTTCCCTCTTTTATCTTGCCTTCAGTCTCTTCTTTTTTCCTACCTCTTAAGCTTGCAAATTGTGGCCTTCTCTGCACCTTCCTACAGCTGATAAGAACAAAAAGTACTTACATGGAAATCACCTTTTGAATCAGCCACCTAACACCTGAAACTGACAGAATACTTCTGATTCGTGGGGTATTTCAACCATGACAGCACAATACGCTAAGAAAATATGCAATCGATACAATCGATGCATTCCAGAACTTTCTCACCAGATCATGTGCCTGAATTTAGCATTTACTGTATGGCAGTAAAACTACCGTAATCATCCAAAAGATGACATTTGTAGCCTTCAGCATATACAAGAATACCAGAACTCAACCAAGAGTGATGGGTAAAAAATTTTAAAGCCTAATGCATGGCAAGTATCATAAACAAGTATCCGTTAGCAACCAATGATCATGTTATTAAATCCATATAAAAGAGGGTGGCAAATCAGTCCAAGAGTTATATCAATAAATATGCACTGCATGATGTATTTTTTAAACACTATTATGGATCAAGCTAAAACAAGTTGCAGTCCTTCCTGGTATTTCTACAGCCCCATGTAGAGGAACAGCAAAAATTAGGCATAAACTGTCAGGAAACTAATCGCTTTGCAATTAAATATTTAAGAAAGGTTTTTAAGTCAGTTATAAAAACATATTTGGTTGAGAAGATACTTCTCTCCAAAGGAAGCGTCACTGTAACAAAGGCAGGAATCAGGTGCTCAAGTACAGTCTTCTTGGTCCATTTAATTCCTACATATAAGTAGTTCACCTATCCTCTGTTTTTTGCTTGTTTGTTTGTTTACAATAGCAATCCTTTTTTACTTAAGAAAAATCACTGAAACTTTCCAGTGTAAAGACACATGGCCTCGAATTTTAAGGTGAAAAGATTTTTGAACAAAAACTAAATGTACAGTTGTTCTGATCAAAACCTGTTCCTAGAATTAAGTATGAAAAGTTTGGAGACTTCTCTACAGAAATTCTGTAATTGTTAAAAAGCAAACTTTAATTAATTCCTAATTCTGTTGTGCAGGTTCCTGCTACCTGTGTCTTCAAAATGGTGAAGACCGCATGAATTAAGAGAAAACAAAGACAAAGTAAGATGTATATGATAAGTAAAACAGCTGAATTTAAACATTTAATTTAATTTAGTAAATTAAAAAGAATTTAAAACAGCTGTCTATAAGTACTTACTTAGAAGAATTTAATTTGCTTACCTTCAATCACAAAACTTCACCATTGGTGAGTAATTGGAAAGTGTTCTTGCAAGAGCATTTTTTTTCCAAACATGCCCACAAAATATTGTTTTAAAAACAATTCTCAGCTAAAACATAATTTTAATCAGTTAATCCCTGAGAAAGAGAGAGCTGCATTAAATTATCAGCAGCTACAGAGCTCCAGCAGTCCAGATGGTGGGGCTGTTGCCCATTATGTCTCTGGTATACAATAGCTGAAAGAGCAAGGCTATTTAGAACTTTATGGTAAAGATCCAGGAATAATAGAACGCTCAAAGTTCATTACACCGCAGCAATTTTGCTGCATGTCATTATTTTGAGCTTCGAAATAACCTGTAATAGCCCAAACATACTTAGTTTCACAACATTAAGTGTTACAAAGATCAAGTAAAAAATGACATGGAACTGGTGCTACTACAGGCTTCACATTTCAATGACATGAAAATCCTCAAAAATTTATTCTGCGCCCTATTAACTGCAAGACATCAGGAGCACAGCTTACAGACAGAGCTATTTTGATTGCACTGTCTCTAGAAACAAACCAAGGGCCCTTCCAAAAATGCCGTTTTCTCTCTGTTCCCTTCCCCACAGCATTTTAGACCCCACTGACAGACCTTTCACCCAACAATCTACTCTAGCGCCTCTTTGCTCCGCACTGGGATGCGCCTCACTGATAGTACTGCCAATACCCGGTGTGGCTGGTGAAGGCTGAAAACCCTAGGCCCATCATCAAATTTCTGACAACATCCACCACACTGAAAACTAGCAGGGCTTCCATACCATTTACATTGTTTTCAGTGGTCCTCAAATCCACAGAATTACCTGTCAATACTCCCTATTCCAGTACAATTTAAAAATTAAAAGTGTGAAGACTTCACATAGAGTTCAAATTTACACTTTGCAAGATGGAGCAGAAGACTCTGCTCTGCAAGCTATGTGCTTGCACAGACACCATTAAATAGTATAATTAAAAATAAACAAGAAAAGAGATTCAGCACCTTCATAAAACACATGTGAAGAGCCTCCTTCTGGACACAGGTTAGAACATTTACAGTAGTTATTCTGCAAAAGCCAAGCTGAGCATCCACGGGTCTTTCAGCAAGTATCACTCACCTCTGCGTGTGTTTTTCTCTCCCCTGACTCTGAGCCGTTTGACGGGAGCTTCCCATCCCAGTACTGCTTTACATAAGCAATGAGTTGATGTTTCTCAGAGGAAGGAGGCACTGCAATTCCCTGTACTGCCAAATACTTAAAAATTGTTTCTCGATAGACTTTTCTTCGTTTCAAAAGTTCTTCTACACTTTGGCTGTAAACCAAAATGGCACTAATGGCTTCTGCAAGTGAAGAAAACAAAGTTAACAGTTACTTTTCTCACCAATAAACTACAAACATCTGCTATTTCTTATGCTCCTGACCAGCACCTCCTAACAAAACACAACCCTAAGTGAAATGCAAATGGTTATAAATTCATTTGTAAACTGAAATCTGGAATAACTAGATATAAGTCACATTAGACACAGTAAACACCTGAAGCCTTCAGAACATGTTTAAGAACAAGTGGTGTTTTCGTGAAGAGCTAGCTACCTTATAATCTCTATTATCAGAATCAAGGATTGTTTGGAACCCCATGTTATCTGAGTTTGATGAAAAGGATGCAGCTTTTTCTTCCAAATGAAATTATGAATATTCCTCAAGTAGGTTGAGATTTTCAAGCTCTGTAGAAACTCCAAGTGCCTCCGGAAGTATAAGGATTCTTGCACGCAATGCATTTCACCCATAATTCCACAGACACAACTAGTCCTCCTTCCAAATTTAGTTGATCTGATTGTAACATTAAGCTATTTCGGCCTTCCAGCTGCCATACAGCAACTTCACTAGCAGAAGCTAAGTTTAATTTCATTCTCCATTTGAAGAGCTTTGGAATATTTTACAATAAGCCATCTACCTGTCTTCTTGAAGGCAGGACTACCCAAAGAAAGAAGAAACAGACAAATCTTTTGTTGCTCTTCTGCATATGGAATTTGAATCTTAATTTCCGCATCAAATGGGTAGTTGGGCGATCCGGCCAGAAAACATTGCTATTTTGAACAATGTGCCAGTATTCAAATGTTCCCTGAGAACAGAAATTTGTCAGAAATGCAGAGAGGTAACCTCTGATTTCTCACACACTGCACAACAATTCCAGTACCGTAAGTTCACGGCTTTTTAGATAAGGCAGCATTGTTTGTGAAAAGGAGGTTCCCTCTGGGCTCCTGAGGACTGATGGAAATCAACAGACTGCGCAGCCCTCAGCCGAGCACACAGAGGTTTCACTTTCACGAACGAGACCTGAACACCAGGCTCCGAGGCGCACCCAGACCAGGCGGGGCCGGGCCCGAAGCGGCCGGCCGGAGGGGGGCTGGGGGCGGGGGGCTGGGGGCCGAGGGCTGAGGGCTGGGGGCCGCCACCCGCCGCCACCCAGCTCCCCCCCCCCCCACCGCCCCCGGCCCGGGGAGGGGCTGCGGCACCTTGGCGGCTCTCCGGGTGGACCAGGCGGTTGGTGATGGTGTCCGTCAGCGCCAGCAGCTCCTCGGTGCCGAGCAGCTCGAGCAGCTGGCGGCACCCGGCCTGCTCCCGCTCGCTCAGCCCCGCCGCGGCCATGGCTCGGCCCGGCCCGCACCAGGCCCAGGCCCAGCCGCCGCCGCCGCTCGGCTCGGGCCCTTAGCGACGGCGGGCCCTAGCAACGGCCGCTTCCGGTACGGCGCCACACGCGGTCCCCCAGCACCGCCCCGGCCGTCGGCCGCAAGGCGCCGGGGGGAAACGACGGCTGGCGCTTGAGTTCCGCCCGGCGGTACCCGGTAACTCCTTCCTGCCCAAATAGCACCGTGCCCGAGGCATTAAAACAAAATCCAGTAACAGCTGGTACGCTAACAGACGCGGCAAGGAATTTGTGTACATGGTATATACGTTCCCATTTCGATAAACGTTTCGCCTGCAATGTGCACATGCCACTGGGTTAGAGAACCCTCGCCCTTATGCCAAACTTTGCTTTTTTTTGTTTGTTTGTTTGTTTGTTTTTCTTGGCAAGGACCGTGTCAAGATTAGACAACATAGAAAATTAAAACAAGTTTACAGTCAAGGTTACACAGAAGTCACCATTTTGCAGAGGACAGTCATAATCTGAGACCAAAACCCACGAGGAATTTACGGGACAGTGAATAATAAACAAGCCAGCGCTTCCAGAGGACAGTTCTGAACATTGCTGAAGCTGAAGGAAAAGTGATTAGGCTGCCTTTATCTTTGGACCACAGCATTCAGTGAAGGAGACAACAGAGCAACAGGAAGGCGTGCATCACACCAGAAGTTACCATCCCCGTTAGCAGCAGTGTTACCAGACGCAAACAAGCTCAGAACAGCAGCAGCTGAGGCTCAGCTCTCCACACTCACAGCGAGCAGCCTTCCCAAGAGGCACTTGGTGCACGTAGCAGAGTTGCTGAAGGATTTTAAGCATTTGATGATGGAGAAAAACAGACAACTAGAAGCAGAGAGATCTTTGCACTGGCACAACAGCTGAGGGGGGAACCCTCCCCAGCAGCATTCTGAAACCACTGTCCACCAAGAGAGAATGTTCTGCCCTCAACACCATAAAAAAATAAAATAAAATAAAATAATAAAAAAATAAAACAACACTGGTCCACAGCTTTCTTTGACCACCACCAATTTCCCTTGCAAGCTTTAATATATTCCTTCCATGCTTTACTACTTCCATCTGTCATGCCAACCTTACACTATTCTCTACATGCACATGAACACACACTAAGTGGGTGACCCCTCTCCCACCAGGTCAGAAACCAAAAACCAACCCTCCTTCCCTGAGCTCATAGGCCAATTACTCAACAGGCTCCCATTTGCCTACGCAGTCTGATTGATTCCCTCTGTCGGAGTACATCATGCAGACAATGCACAATGCCTGCAAATTACTTATATGCACGAGTTAAATCCTGTTCCTAATGCACTTGGTGACTAAATAAGCAAACCTTTTTGAAGGTGATCAGGCCCAGTCAATTACAAGAAGTGGGTTACCTAGAGTCTCATAAGGTTCAACCACTGATTGAAGCTTTTTCTGCAGCAACATGCATTTCAGACTGATGACCAAAATCACCTCATCCTCTCCCTCACAGACGCGCTTCTCTCTTCAGCAACTACCGGTTCTAAAGAACTTCTAATATTGTGACTTCTTGAAGACTTATTTGAATAAATAGTGACTTAGAGGTTCCAATCTTCCTAGAACCAATAGTCTATTTTAATTTCCTTTGTCATCTTTGATATTGTTGGATATTCTTGAACAGACTTCAGTCTCTTAAAATCTCAATGCCTGCACACTTGGAACATTGAGACTTGGCAGCTTCAAACAGGTGATACGCAAATACACACACATTACACAACAACTTCAAAACATTGCAGCAGTATTTTCAGAGTGATTCCCCAAAGGACAAGATCAATTTCTATCAACAACAAAGACAATGTTTTATTGAACAAACCTATGTACAGTACAAAAAAGTTTTTAAAATGAAACACTACTGTTGATTTATTGCAGTTTGATGGCTCAGTTTTAATTTGTACTCTTATATAAAATGCAAAGTAAAATAATTTAACATTCAACAAGGAAGCACAAATCTCCTTTCTTGCTGAACCTGTAACAGCTTTTACAAATTAACAGAGTCCCAAAATGCATATGCTGCATTTAATCAGAAAGGTGTTATACAGTACCAAATAAATTAAGAAAATAGTAACACTACCACCCTCTTTGAGTCTTTTGTCCATACCACTGGTGTTAAACAACAAAAGAAATGAGTACAGCTGAACCTTCAATGTGATATTAAAAATCACAAAGTTTAATGTTATAAATTATCCAAACTATACAATTTATATAGTTTCAATGAATATGGCTAAATAACCAAAGTACCAGTGACCTTTCCCCCACAGATATGACCACTTTCAATTTTTATTTTTTTCCATGAAAGGTGCCTACAATGCGGCAACTCTTTGAAAATTTGAACTGGCATGATCTCTGCAGTGAACTAATCATGTTAGAATAGACAATCTTAAAAGGAAAGTTTAAATCCAAGTTAAAGCCACCTGAAGGCACATTATTAAAACATAATTATCAGCAATGAAATGCACAAACTTTGATCCAGCAAAGCTCCCATGTTCATGTGTAACTTCAGGTGACTTTAAGGAATTTGCATGCTTACATTACACACGTACTTCAGTGTTCATTGAATCAAAGTGATATAGCCTGATGAATTATTTCCCATTATATCACAATGCTTAATGCCTGGGGCAAAACCTTTCAATTCTGGACTTGGAACCTTTTTTCAGCCCTAAAACTTGCAGGCTTAGTAATAGGATACTCAACATCCTAAAGAATGCTAAAAAAGCATGTAGAATTATCCCACACACATTTAAAGTATCTTTCTGCTCCTAATTCAAGTTGCTTTATATCAAAAGTATCTGAGAATACCAACAGGTATTCAAGAACAGTTTAAAGAAAACACAGTGTTTTTTTGAAGTAAAATCAGTACTGAAAATAAAAGTGTTACAACCCATTTCCTACTTCAAATCAATTTAACATATTTCTTCTGATAGGTGTTAGGTGACCTAATATTCACCTACGTTAGAACTCAGTCTTTCAGATCTTTCAAGTGTGTATTCTGAATATGTGGTATAAACAAATGGTGGTGTCCAAGAAAAGCATTTTCGAACAAAAATGAGTTTAATACAGGTACAAAAAATTATGGTCACAGTTTATGCACGTACATAGATGCATTTATCTATACACTTTAAACCAAAAGAAAAAAACACAAGTCTTAATCATGTTTTTAAAGCATCTTCAAATACATGGAGCTCCAGGAAAAGGTAAAAAGCACCAAAGATTAAAGGTACACTTAAAAGACTTTACACAAACATTTGTCATATCTTATTCAATGAGTTCTCAGATTTTTAAAGCCATAATACTTTATAATTGTCTTATTTTTTTTCCAAATATACCTAAGCGAATTTAACTGATTAGCAATGTTAAGCAAAGAAAGGGGAACCTAGGAACATTCAAGATGGTAATTGGGTCCTTAAAAACTAATTGGTAATTTGAAGCAAGAAAAATGTGAAAGTGCATTTGGCTGAGACGGTCCCCCTTACATTGAAAAATTTTTAATGTATTTATATATGTAAATATTTATATATAGTGTGTATGTAATACATATGAATGATGCATTTAAATCACTTTTCTGCAACTGCGAAAAAAATTCTTTGGTGCCTCAAATGTCATAAAGATCTCCCAAAGTGGGCCAGCCATTGGTATTAATGTAATGTACACATACCTGTGATCATAATTTTATAACCTTTTATGTTAATCCAACTCAAAATTAAGGCAAAAAATTTCTAGAATTTAGAAAAAGTGTGATTTTTAATTTGCATTTTTATGTCTCAGGAGAGGAAAGGGAAGCAGAATTAATGCAAATATCTGCAATTTCACAGAGAATTATTAGCAGAGGCATTACTGAACTATTAAGTTCCAGAACTATTTAACAGCCTATTTTACAATGAAACCCTTAGGTTTACAAATGTGAGCCATTGCTACAATGAACAGATCTTGTTTACGCCTTGATTTTTTTTATTTTTATTTTGAATTTTTGTATCTGTTGATTTTGTTGATTTAAGCAAGTTGATCATCCTACTACGCCATCCATACATTGAGATGAACTAGTCAGTAAGCAAACCAGCTGAGCAGGAACAGTTGGTCTTCGCTGTCCTACATTTCTGTGATGACTCCATCCGTACATACCATTTTTCATCATTAGACTTTGTGGCTACAATCACATGAAAATTTTCTCCTAATGACACATAACAGGATCTCAAACTTTTTATGGTGTCAAGGCAGAATAAGACAGTTATTAGAGGATAAATTACTACAGTAATTAAACAATGTGCATGTTTGCCACAACTCTGGGGCATGAAAATCAAAAACTACAACAGCATCTTTTTGGTTTCCAACCATCCTGTCTGTCCCTTCTATAGATCTCATTGAAAGACTCAAATTTGTTATCTTCACAACATCTTTCTGATTGTTTTTATGAAGTCAGTTGTTGGATAAAGTGCTTAACATTGAAGTAAGTCCTTCACTAACTTCTGGGAAAGCTTATCAAGAGATGCTGCCAGATAGGGTTGTACTATGTCTTAAGGCTCAGTTGATAGGTTTTCTCCCTCCCTTTAGACAGTAAATAATTTGTTACAGCACTGAGCTGTGACCAGCCAACATTATGTAATACCACACGTGGAAACAGGCTCTTCCAGGTCTATCCTAACTTGACATGCACGCTCTGATTTTGTCTGTCTTCATTACCTCCCCTTTATTATAAAAGAAGCCTTCTGAAGTTCCTTTCAATCATACCAAAAGCTGAAAGGACCTCTGCATTTGTATAAAATCAATTTAACTCTGTCCTGTAGTGCACATCTACCCCGCCTGCACATTATGCATTTTTGTCTGCTTCTGGTAATATCCACACAACTTTTGCAGGTACTGCTTGTATTAGTCTTCCTGCACCTAAAACCGATATTTTACATTCAATGTATACTGTAACCATAGCCCTGAAAAGGGGCTTCTCTGACACGCATCTGATTTCCACTGTGCAGAACTCACTAAGTAACACATCAATGCACTTTTTCTTTGCATGCTCTGTACTTCAAGATTTTTTGATTTTTGTTATTTATTGTTGTTGGTTTTGATATGAGAGCTTTCCATCCATCT